ACTCGGAAGAGAATTACAACACCCGAAGTACTCACGATCGGTAGAGAATACTTAGGCGAAATTATAGAAGGTGTAGCGGGAAGGATTTCGACAATTGGGAAAGTCATAACTCTAAACCTTAATCTTGTCCAACCCATAGGCTTGTTAGTTAATAATTTTACTGCTTTCAGAATTTGTTAATTAATTAGTTTAAAATAAAAATTACAATCTTTATAGCTAGAAAATTATTTGAAGTTATATTTCTTAGTGATATTGAGCAGTTGGAGCTAAGCCTTAATTTCCTGTGGGATTCGACTCCGGACTTTAGACCAGATTGCATTTGTAATGACGCTTAGTCTTTTTTATAAGGCATAGTTGGGCTTGATCAAATTTTGGCGACGTTGCCGAGGAACTAACGGTGTAGTTGTAGGTGTATATATTGCTAGGTTTCAAGTTTGAACTTTTTATTTTATTTTTTAGTGTTTGATTTTTTTTAAATTTTTTTTATTTGAGAGACATGGCATCTTGGAATTATGAGAGCTATGATGTTGGTAATTTTAATTTTGATCCTATTTATGCATATAGTGGAAGAAACCACTCATGGCAAAAATATAAAAATATCCCTGAGAGTGAGTTATGTGCACCAATTCAATCTTACGTGTGGAATGTGTATGATAAGTGTGGTGGTCAACATGGTCACTTTCATGGTTATACTTATATTTCTTATCCTCCCCCAACCCCTTACTATGATGGTTCTACTTATTCTTGTGAAGTTAATAGGAACAAACAACCCAGGGATGATGACCTGAAAGAGATCAAGGATATACTATGATGCCTTGTGGAACAAAATAATGAGAAACAACTGCACATACAAAGGCAAGATGCTACTATTCACAACCTAGAGGCACAGGTGAATCAATTGGTTGAAGCACTTAATGCTCAACAAACTAATATTGGGGATAGTAGCCAAGAAGAGTATGAATTAGATGCTGAAATTGAGGTGTTAATGGAGGAGGTCAAAGTAGAACACCAACAATTTATCCAACTAGAATTTGAGGATGCTGATATTGAAGAAGTAATACTAGAGTCAGCCAAGGACGTTAGATACAAATTTAGTTGACTCTAGTGTCATTGGTGTTGAGGATGTGAAAAGACCTGAAGTGTATGTATTTGAGCGCATTGGTCCTCACTCCAAGTATTTTTTTCACATTGTGTTTGGATGATGATATAGAAATAGAGTCATTTGAGCCAATTGAGAAGTCAACGAATGAGGAACACGGTGTCTACATTCTGGAATTTTTCTTGCCAGATAGTCAGGAAGACACACCTCACATAAAGTTCAAGAAGTGAAGAGTAATAAATTATTTTCTTGGGCTGGTTAGATTCGTTCCACCACCCCAAGAGCACAATTATAAGCTTGAATCAAAACTTGGAGTTCAATTTATAAGCTCGAGGTGAAGGCAACAAGTGATTCACGTCGTGTTGCAACATTAAATCATGCGCTTGTTGGGAGGCAACCCAACTCTACTGCTTTCTTTTATTTTTAGTTTTTTTAATTATTTTATTATTTTGTAGTGTCATGTTTTTATTTTGTAGGAGCATGGAAAGCAAAGATATTAAAAAGATGCAACAACAAGCTAGATGGTTAGAACTAAGTGTGGGGTGCTCGCACAAAGGAAAATACCCTTGGAAAAGTCTGAGTATCTCATGAGCTGCTAGTGCTTCGGCCTTTGACCTACCAAGGAGTTTCTTTTACTCTCTTATTAGTATAGTGTGCACTAGGGACAATGCACAATCTTATGTGTGGGGTGAGGAGATTGTCTGGATGACTTTCTATGCTATTTTAGTTGTGTTAGTTTAATTGAATAACTTTATCTTTTAGAAAAATATAAAAGATTGGACTTTTCCCGACGATGAATATCCTAAACAATTTTCTTTAGGCTTTAAAGTATAACTAGAAAACAAAAACAAAAAATTGAAAAAACAGAAAAATCCAAAAAAACATGTAATTTAATTTTTACTTTGGGTAGTAATAATTTTTTGTATTTTTTTTTGTACCTCGGTTCTTTTTCATGGGACGTAGTTGAACCGGATAGTAGTTTTTTAAAAAAAATTATAGTAAAATAGGATTTAGGGAATAAAAAAAGGAATATGAGATTTTTAGGTGCTCTTTTGACTTGTTTGATAGTAGCATATTTCGGCATTAGCATGTGTATTACCTTCCCTATGGTTTGAAGTTGTTTATGATGCCTTGTTTAGTTAGATAGCATATTTATTGATGCCTATGTCTCATTTTCTTGGCTCTTACTCACTTTGTGTTTAATGCTTAATAATTTGTGGCTCCGTGAATACTTGTAATTGTTTGAGAGTCAGAATGGAACTGTCCTTAGTGAGTCATGTACCATATGTGGTGAGATCTTCTTGTATAGTCCATGTCATTGTAACTTAGTCTAGAACTTGCCCGGCATGTGAGTTGAAGCAAAATCCTAGGCTTTGCTTGGTTTGAAAATGATTTTAGGTTTTTTTTTTTATCTTTTTTTAACTTAATTCCTACCACAAATAAAATATATCCCTAATCAACCCTTTTGAGCCTATAGACTTTTATTTGGAAACCACGTTACAAGCCTATATCCATTTGTTCTTAATTGTCATTGTTTTGATCCTTGTACCTCTTACAACACTTTAATTGTAAAATGAGCGATAGAAGAAGCAAGGAGGGAACTTGGATGGATTTTGAATGAAACTACTAAAAGAGTAAAGGTACACGTATTTTATAAAATAAAACACTACTAGCAAAAAAATGTAAAGAAGAGAAAAATTACAAAAGAAAAAAAGATATATAGTTGAGAAAAAAAACAAAAGATGTTAGATGAATAAATTGATATATTGTCCTTGCTAGTAGGAGTGAAGTAAAGTAGTGCTTAAAAAAGGAGGGGAAAGCTCTTGGGATGATATTATTTGTGAAATTGAAGATGGGATTGGAGAATTTGCGCTTAAAGAATTATGTGATGTGTTAAAGTGCTTAGGAGGATTAGCCACTATTTCAAAAATATATCCTACCCATCATGTAGCCTATGTTACAATCATGAAAAATTCTTACTTGATTTTAGATCGAGCAAGCCTACATTAGTAGAGGTTTACATAATGGGCAAGCCTATGGTACTTTTTGCATGCATGTGACTTTTTTGTGAGAGTGAGGAATTTCTTTGATTTATCTGAGTCCCTAAAATATATTTGAATATTTGATTCGAGTGTGTGAATTCGACTTACTCCTTTGTTCTTGTTGTGAGGACACATGATTTCGCAAGGGATAGGAGACATTATTAAATTTCTCTTCGAAGTTGAATATTCAAGCCACGAATGCATTATAATAGTGAGTCAGTTTATGAGGTTAGGATTGTTATAAGCATGTGTCTTGGTGTTGAATAAATTTTTGAAGCATGTCATAAATTTAAAGGAAAGTGTGTGTTGAAGGCATATGCTAAAGTTTAATTGTGCTATCAACTATAATCATAGATATAGTGTGCTTCAGATAAGCTAAAAGAAAATAAAGTGCTCTAGGTTAATATGAATTGGTGGTTGACTCGAGGACGAGCAATGTCTCAGTGTGGGTGGTGATGTTTGGCCAAAATACTGTACTTTTAGTACATTACTCGCCTATATTTATTTGGTTTAATGATTAAATGTGCGATATTTGAGCTAAATTATGTTGTTTATGTGTAGGAGCATCAGAAGAAAGAGTCGAATGAAAGTTGCACGAAAAGAGGATGAAAATCATGAAAAGAGTACAAAAACACAAGTACCCAAGCCTGGCTACAGGCCAAGCATAGCCAGCTTTACCGTGCTACAGGTCAAACATAGCCAACTCAATAGCTAGCTTGATTGCGCAATAGGCCAAGCGTAGCCAGCTCTGTGGCCAGGCTGACTGCGCTATAAGCATGGCCTCGCGAGGTCTATAGCCTGGTGATCAAAAGTGCGTGAATTAAAGGACTCCGACCCGGATTTGGACTCAAGGACTTCAACCCTAGCCTATAAATACTCCCTAAATATGTCTAAGAAGAGGAGGACATTTTTGAAAGGGGATTCGACTTAAGGAGGCAGAAATACGCTAGGAGTAAGGCGGAGAATTCTTCTATGAGTTTTATACTTCCTTCTTTCTATTTTCATTATTGGTTATGAATTCTTGTATTGTAGTTTTGCATACTATTATGAATAACTAATTTATTATCTAAGGTTTTGATGAAACCTTTTGTAGGATGAATTCATATTACATATTTATATAATTGAGCCGTTGGATTTCTCTACTTGTTCAACTACGCGTTTATTGATGTTGATTGAATGGCCATCAATTGACTGCGCCTATTTAGTATATATTGCTTGGCAAATGGTACATATTTAGGTAGTTGTTGAACAACATCACTTTTAACGTCTGTGAGGAATCAATACGGAGGGTTTAAAGGTGGGATTAGGAATAACGAAACCTTGGTGCAATCTTAGTGAGTGGTGAATTAGTGTCAGCTAGCGTAGTTCGGCAAAATATGCCTAGTAAATTGTGGTAGTTGCTCGGAAGAGAATTACGACACCCGAAGTACTCACGATCGGTAGAGTATACTTAGGCAAAATTATATAAGGCGTAGCGGGAATGATTCCGACTTGGGGAAATCATAACTCTTAGGCCTGCTTAATCTTGTCTCCAACCTTTAGTTTTGTTAGTTGATAATTTTACTGCTTTTAATATTTGTTGATTAATTAGTTTAAAATAAAAATTACAATCTTTATAACTAGAAAATTATTTGAATTTGTATTTCTTAATGATATTGAGCAGTTGTAGTTGTATGTGGGATTCGACTCCGAACTTTCAGACTGAATTGTATTTTCAGTGACCGGTTAATTCTTTTTGTAAAGCATAGTTGGTCGTGATCAAATAGTCTTTTGAATTACATAGTGTAACTAATAATAGGGAATAACTCAAAAATTGAAAGTTGAGACTTCTTTCCTTTTTCTCTTTCTTTCCTGTCATGATATATAAGCGACAAATTACATAACAAGTAAATAACAACACAAGTAGTCAACTACTTAAAACTTAAAACAACTACTAAGTAATCTATTAACCCACCTGGATGAACCATAATCATCTCAAAGAAAGGCATTTTTGCAAATACTTAACAGAATTTTCTATAGCATACAAAATCCTTTAGGACAGTTTTTTTGTCACACATACTACTTCATTAAAAACAGAAGTTATAGCTTCAAACTGCAACATAGCAAGCTTATCATCAGTTTCCAATTCGCCTTCCTCTGTTCCTGTCTGTCCAATCACCCCTTCTAGCAGCCTTTGCTCTCTTCCACCTCTGAATATTTCTCATTCTTGAGAATATTTTCCTAATCTGGTACAGCTTATGAGATTGTTGAGCTATTAAATTTGCAGTTGAAGGACTCTGGCTTAAGACTATCTCGTATCCATCGCGAAATGAGTCCATTCCTTCACTTAAAAGTTGCCAGAAGAGCCCTCCAGCTGCTGCTCCCCCGCGCTTGGCTGATGAATATATCTTGTAATACACTGTGTTGTAAAGAAGGTCCCTCTGGTAGGAGCTGAAACCTGAATCCTTCCAAGATTTCCCGAATTCTGTGATCAGCAATGGCTTTCGGAGAATATATTGAGCATCTTGAATGTGGGAGTTTAACCAATTGTTGAGAAAGGATAGCTGGGCTTGATCATTTGAGTTTGTTATCCTGTCATAATATAACTTTACATATGAAACTCTTAAATTATGTAACAAACTTCATCTACAAGTAGATATGAGACATTTTATAACACGTCTCTCATGTGCAGACAGGGGCGGAGTGGGTTTTATTCAAACCCTGTAATTGTCTTAAGAAATTTATCGAATTTATACAAATTATTAATTTAGAACCTAGTAGCTTAAAATGATAACAATCCCGAACCCATAAGGTTCAAATCCTGGCTCCGCCTCTGTGTGTAGTCTTGATTCTTTTTCCTTGGTCAAGCACGTGAAGTATTTTTGTTTTTAGGTGACGGTGAAACTTGAACTCAAGATTGCTGATTCGATATCATACTGAATTAGTGTCACCTTTTTTAAAAGTTTAAACTTTTAGATGAGACGACCACAGAAAACACTTCCATTTTTCAAGATGACTAAAAAAGGTGATGTAGTCTCCGTAAGGATATTATTCTAATGTGCAATGTGGTTCTGAAAAGTTTACCATTGATCGGGATAAGCATGAGCAGTGGCAAAATCAATGCCAGGTATGCGATTGTTGGCGATGAAGTCAGTTCCTATGTCAAAATTAGGATTCAGAGTCCTCCTCTGAGGAGTTGATTGCCCATAGAATCCTTCTAAGCCAACTTCTAATAAATGGTTTCTGTCAATAGACTTAACATAAGAAGCCATCTCCGTTGCCCAGGCCTGCACACAAAGAAATTAAACTCAGCATAAATCCTTTTCATATTGTTTCCCTCTAGAAAACATTAATTCTTGCATTAGGACATCAGAAGTAATAAATGAGGTGCACTTGAAAAGACATTAATTTCTAGTCAATTATGTGAAGTAACCTAGGAGGAGCTACCCTGGATGATAATTAATGGAGAACTTTCTCGGTACTCTAATAATTAACCATGCCACTCTCTTATTAAATTCAAGGGGATGTATTTGAATCTAATGCTTTGAGGGTTATTGAATCTGTTGTTTTCGGCTTGAATTTAAAATGTACATATCTAATATACAATATTGTTTTCCCTTACTTATATATATTCGTATTAGGCATCATAACAATTTCTTATTAAATACCCGTGTTTTTTGTGTTCATATAAGGCTCTGTGGTGTTTATGATATGCACCAACATCCATAGTACTATTAATTACTAAGAAGGGGGTATTTTTGAAAATCTAGGCATCCATTACATTAGGCCCTCATATGGGGGAGAAATTCAAAAATAGCCAGATTTACAACTGGTCGTTCAAAAATAGTCATGTTTCAAAAGTAATCGAAATTTAGCCACTTTATATGTAAAGATAAATCTGAGCGAAAACACTGTTTAAAATCCGAAAAATACGTCAGTCTATTATACTGGAGTTCCAGCATAAGTATGCTTGAACTCCAGCATATTATACTGGAGTTCTAGGATAAGTATGCTGGAACTCCAGCATAATATGATGGAGTTCCAGTATAAGTACAATAAAACTCCAGCATAATATACTGGAGTTCCAGCAAGTATAATTGTCCAGTATAATATACTGGAGTTTGGAGCACCAGTGCTCCAGTCTCCAGGATATTATGCTGGAGTCAGCAAAGTATATCGGTCCAGCATAATATGCTGGAGTTCATACACAGGTGCACCGAACTCTAGTATATTATGCTGAACCGATCTCTGTTGCAGCAAAATAGTGGCTATTTTTCATTGACTTCGTAAACGCTGGCTATTTTTGAATGACCAGTCCGAAAACTGGCTATACCGTGCTATTTTTACCCTCAAATACCCAACACTTGAAGGATTGAAATTCAAAGTTAAAATTGAAATTTAAATTTTTTTTGCGAAACCAAATACTATAGCTTTATGCTAAGTCACATATCCCATATTTTTGTACGACAAACCAAACACTAGATTATAGTTTATGTATTATATATATAATCTCACTTTATAATTCATGATTTTTTAAAACTTATCCTATATCACAATTTATCACCGTATTTCAAGGCTTAATTGTCTGCATCTGACTTGCAGAAAATGTAAAAACAACCAAAGCAGAAAACGAATCCCGATCCCAATTTTATTTAAAATTCAGAAGAAGAAAAAAAAAAAAGGAGGAACGAACAAGAAAAGATTATCTTCTTAAAAGTTGAGCCATTGATTTAAATTCTTTGCTTTAAAAAATTAGATAAATGCATAGATAATGAAGATGATAAAAACAATCAAAGCACAAGAACCTGAATGGTTCTTCCAGAAGAATCTGATGTGCATCTAGGCTCATTCATAAGCTCCCAAGCCATGATTGTAGGGTCATTCTTGTAAACAACTCCAGTGAAGGTGTTGTATCTGTTGAGAACAGTCTGCATAGTAAAGAACAAATAACTAATGAATGTCATGGTCAAATTAATTAAAATGACCAATTAGAACCAAGGAAAATGATGAGATCTATTTCCTGGTTACCCTAATATGATTCTTGTAATAGCCCTTAACAACAGGGTTCCGAAAGAAATCATCATCCGAATTGAGGTACTGTCCATGACTTCTAGCCCACTTCACATATTGTTTCTTCCCCCCAAAGCTCTCATAATTATTTGCCAAGCTTAATACAACCTTCATTCCATACCTTCTTGCTTCAGATATCACAAAATCCAACCCCTTCAAATTACAATTAGTTACACAAAAGTTAAGACTTTGGAAATATACAAAAGAACAATAATATATAAGGATAAAACAAAATAAGTTGTACACCTTAAACATGTCTGCATTGTAAGAGCCAGGAGCATATTGTAGTGGCTTGTATCCACCATCACTAAAAGCCCAAGTTCTAGCCACAGTAAGGCCATGGCTTGAAGCTTCTTTAAATGCAGCTGAAACTTTGGATCTTTGAGAGGGGTCAGAAGCTACATACATTAGCCAGTAGGCATTAAACCCATTGGCATAAAAAGGGTCGCCATTTAACATGAAATGAATCCCTCTAGTCCTAATAAAGCCATCTCCTGCTTCTACTTCAACAAAGAAACAGATATTCTGCACCAAGAAAATTAGAAAAATTGCGGAAGCCAAATGCTTCTTCATCTCTTTTTTTGTTTTGAGAATTATTATTATGGGCTAATGAAGGCATGAAAAAGCATTTTATTAGCAGCTCGGAGTAGTGTGGGGTTCTGTAATAGTTTGTCCAAAATGAGTCCCCACCACTATTATTAACTATCAGAGGAAAGTAACAGTGACTGCCATTTAGGTTGTTTTGGGAGATGGATAATAATAAGAAAACAAAAAAGGGAAGAATGGCTAGTATCTTTGAAGACAGGAACCATTCATTTTCAAACAAAAAGGTAAATTGTCTAGTATGCTCTACAAAAAAAAAGAGCAACTAACTTTAAATTTTTTATTTTATCCTTCATGGTTAAAAGAATGTCCTGTATTTTTAACCAAGCGAAGCAGAGACTGCCGACACCTTTGTAAAAAAGAGTTAGGGCCATTTTGGAAAGACTAATGTCTGGGACCATATGTGAAGTAGCTTTTCCTTTTACCTTTAGTTTTGTCCTACACAAGAATCCATTAGTAAATTATGCGCGTAAGTGACATAGTGATTAACCAACCATTATTAGCACTGTTTTTATGGAAAGAGGTAGTAACATTAACCAGAGGGAGTTATATATCCTCTCCAACCACAAAATTAAATAGAATGGTAAAACTTTAAGAAAGAAACCACAACTTTGTGGCTAATTAATGTGAGGTCCAATATTTTTCTGGAAGCATTGTGAATTGTGACAGCTCTCTTATCTGCCCATACAAATATAATCTGTTGCAAGGTTTTAGATAATACAGGCGATGTCTTTGTCTTTCCTACATTTGGTTGAAAACTCGATTCTTATATCATTATAAAGCTCTGCACCACAGCCAATTCACGAGGATATGAAAACTATGTAAGTGGAAAGCATTTTTCCACAAATTTGGATAAAGCTTAATTGGACGTAACAAAAAGTTACCTGTCCTTATCATTGGTTTTTAAGGCATGTAACCCCGCCATGTGGCTTGCTACAACTTAAAGAACATCAAGGTAGGGAGGGATTGGATTCAAGTTCAACAGCCCATGTGAGAGGACTAGGCACGTTCATTCGGATCGGATATCCGAAATTCGAACCAATCCATTCAATTTCGGATTTCGGATTTTGGATCGTGTTTATTAAAATTTTGGATTTCAGATCGAATTTGGATTGGTATGTTTTAATCCAAACATATTAGTTTGCAACTTTGAGGCATAATAATACGATCCGAAATCCGATCCAATTCAAACTTTAAAATTCGATCTGATCCGACATAATTTGGATCGAATTCGGATTGCATTTTCTAGAATCCGAAATCCGAAATCCGAATCTAAAATATGCTAAATTCGATCTGATCCGATCCGATCCGTGCACAGTCCGAGAGGACAGCAGCTCGTTCTTTCTTTGATTTTCCGTACCCGCTCTCTTTCGATAATAATTAATGTCAGCATTGTAAATAATGAAAGATGATCTTAATAACACCACTTATGTACTTACATATATAATAATAATTTTAGTTATTCAAAAATAAGACATTGACATACAAAATCCACACAGAAATTGGATAGATTGACTCTCGCAATCCAGACTCTACCGTGTATGCAAATATTGTACGAATGAATGAGTATAAATTCTTCCATTGGGTGTAGTTCCTTTATTGTCAGAGACACCACTCTCAACTCCTTTTCATGACCAAATACTCAAATTGGTGCAAACTAAAGGGGAAGTGGGAATAGCCAAGAGTTATGGTGGGATGGGAGATTTCGATTTCAAAGTATAAAAGAAATTCTGATATAGAGCAATTTCCTTTTTAATGTGCTTTACGCAACTTCAATACCAATTCTTAATAAAATATTTTGAATTCGAGCTTTGAATATTAAAGAAATTCTGATAGGAAGTAATTTTCTTTTTAATGGTCTTACACGACTTTAATTCGAATTAATGGGGATCCCAGTGCGACACCGGAAACAAAGAAAAGAGGGAAGTGGGGTTGATCATCGGTCAAATTTTAGCGGAGGTCTGCGGCAGTGAATGAGACAAGAGGGGTTGCTCTGATTGTAAGCAACCTCCACTTCCAACCGAGGGGTTGTGAGTTCGAGTCACCCCAAGAGCAAGGTGGGGAGTTCTTAGAGGGAAGGATGCCGAGGGTCTATTTGGAAACAACCTTTTTACCTCAGGGTAGGGTAAGATCTGCGTAAACACTACCCTCCCTAGATGTATGAGATTATACTGGGTTATTGTTGTTGTTGTCTACGGCACGGCAATGAATGCAAATGAATCTAGTATGTCCTACTTGGTTTGTTTTAAAACGTTTGGCGGTGAACGAATGGACGCATTTATAGGCGACATCTGCGGCGAGATTTACCTACCTTTTGGTAAAAGACGTGGTGGAGTGGTGTGTATCACAAATTCACAAAGGTATGGAGCCATCCAACTTTTGAATGGCCCCCCAGTTGGCCCTACACTCACCAGTAGGTAATCAGCTGTTGAAAAGTTAGTGTAAATGATAAAGTGATACCAAACTTGTATCACACTCGTCAATGAAATCGCAGACAGAATCTGGTACCATCTTAACCCTCTTGGATTCAGTTGGTCATTGTGTACCTGCTATCTTAACCCTCTTGGATTCAGTTGGTCATTGTGTACCTGCTATCTTAACCCTCTTGGATTCAGTTGGTCATTGTGTACCTGCTAGGCCTACACTATGAGACTCAAATCTTCTGCTTCGTTTCAGGTGGTCTTTTAAAGGACATACAGTAATCAAATTCATATCCCAAAGACTTGGATCAGTCAGAGGTCAAATAGTATGGCATATCATCTTGAAATTTTTAATTATTAGAATAAAAAATGCCGATTTGAATTTATGTTTTTAACCAAAATATCCATCCTGATCATACTTGTGACTAATATGGTCCTTTAAGCAAATAGGTTTTAGCCATCTTGGTCCAACCATTAACAGACATTAGCACCCAAGCTTTGGAAACTAAATTTCTATTCTCTACTTGTTGGAGGTGAGGAGTTGAGGAAGAAGATGAAGCTAGTATAATTCAGTAAAGAATTTGGGGAGAAGATGAACATTGCTCACTCTTGCTGCTGCCAACTTCAAAATAAATTAATAAATTCCCCATCTGATCCCGTGATCCGCATGTCTCCAACAGTTCGTTTACTGTTTTCAAGCTTAATATATTCCGTTTAGTTCAGTGTACACTATCAAAGCTGCAACTGCAGTCATTTTCTAATTCTTCAGCTTTCTAGCATGATCATGTTGCAAGGCATGATAGTGTTTAGTTATTGGGGCCTCCATTTTAGGCAATTGGAAAGTTCACGTGGTCACTTGATGATAACATCACTATTTTTTCGATGTAGAGCAACTTCTGTTAGTTAAGACCAAAACAGTCACCGACTCAAATACGAGATAGATAATTTAGATTACAAGCATAGAAGGACAACGGATAATCAGTAACTGTTTTGATTAAAAACTCATGTTAGTTCTGCGAAAACTCATTAGTTTCTGACAAAAATTCAATTAGTACAATATTGCACATATCTTTCGTCTAATCATCAAACACCAGAAATGTTGAGCCGTACCAAACAGAGCTCTAAAGGATATTTTCTCGGGTTATTTCTTGTTTTCTAGTTCCATTCAATGCGACGTGAAGCTCGAGTTTTTTTTTGTAATTACTTCTTAACACGACAGTACCTACCATGGGACCTTAATTAGTTTTCCTCAAAGGGTCATTTTGAGGATCACCATACAACATATGATCTCGAACTCCAAGGAAGTGTCATTGTAGTAGTGACATACCTTCGCCTTTCCTTTAACTGGTATCAACGCAGCAAGTCCAATGGTATCAGCTGTTGCTACTCTTAGCAAAACAAAATAATTGTACTCCATTGATTTCTAACGAATGCAAACTGGAAAGCACTACTGTGGAGTTTTAGTGAACAAAAGTTGACTTTTCCGTCAGCTGAAGAAATCTAATCAAGAATCTGTAAGCAAGCTGCCTCTAAGGGGCATTTTCTCCTCCAAGCCTGCAAATTTCACAAAGAAAACGTTCCCTCCAACACCAAGAACTGAAAAGTTATCTGAACCATTTCACAGTCGTGCTAACAAACCCAGAGCAAATGCTTTATTTATTTTCAAGGAACTGTACATGTGCAATAGCAGAAATATGCTTTATGTATTAAAAAGGAAAAGAATATATGAGATATTCACAAGACAGTAAAGATTGATCTCCTGCTTCCTTATTTCCCTGTATAATAAGCACGCCTTAACCTATTCATTGAGAACTCATAGTTCTGATGTGGAATCACCCTCAAGACTATGAGACAGATTTGAAGAAGATGACGCTCTTTCAGCAGAAAAGTAAGACCAGGCTAGGACACCAGAGCCTAGTGTAATTGTAGCAGCAATCGACCCCCATATCCATTTCTTCTGCCTTCTCTTCCTTATTTGCCTAAGACGCCGCGCAGTCTCTACATGGTCCAGCAGAAACAGAGAAACTGTCATTCTCCCAAATATGCTGGTTGATATCTTTCCAACCAATAAAAAAGCACAAGAAAAGGTCATTTGTACACAAAATTTACCCTGACGGAGCGCAGGTACCAACTACATAATAAGAGCAGCAGCCTGAGCAGTTGTCACTCGGGAAACATAACTAAATCTGTAAGGTATTGGATGGACGCACTCAGGACGGAACTACAGTATTACCTACGGGTTCGGATAAACCGACTAGCTTTTGCTTAGATCATGTATTTGTATTAGGAAATTTATTAAATATGTAAAACTATTTAATTCGAACCCACCAAGTGTAACTAAAACGAGCTCTGGGTTCGGTAGCAAGTTCAGAACTTCAAACCTTGGCTTCGCCTCTGGACACACTACCTACAAAATTCCCTATGAACTAATCTACTCCTGATGTAAGTCGAATGTTAGCAAGGAAGTCACTAACCTCAATATTGATCTTTCATAAACTTCTGCAAATCGGATTACATACGTGCATACAATCTAATTTGACAAATAATAAGCAGTCAATAGGTCTTGCATCTTAGTACTTTTCCCTCTTGGTTCAGAAATAATTGTCCTACTTTGACTATCACGATTATAGATATGAGAACTAAAATCAAGTCTATGTTTAATGTTTGCTGGAGAAATGTGTATCGGCCATATGCCATGTTATTCTTTTAAGAAAAGAACACAGAAAAAAAACTGCATTTATTTGTGTAAAAGTGCACAATGAAGTTTGGGTGTAAAATAACCGACAGCCCAAGACATTATTCTAGATGCACTAAAGACAAAACATAAACTTTTGGCATGGAACAGTGGGGAAGACATTTGCAGTTCAGAGGAAACCACCAAATGATGAATTTATGCATCAGATCAGTTGGAGAGAAAAACACCATATCTGCATTATGCTTAACTTACATTTGTTCTAATGGAAACGAATTATTAGATTACTATGTTTATTTTGGGCCCTGTCTTGTTTCTCGGTTTCAATGCTGACAGTTGAATTTGCAAATTGAACAGAGTATTTTTTCTATATAATAGCAGATGCCAACATAACTTCTAATTCTTTCACAAATCTCAAATAAGACGAAGTTGCCATTGGACATGACCAATATCCCAATTAAAACTATAGTTAGACTAAGTAAGAAAGGTTAAGGACCTAGTTGTTACCGATCAGCATACCTATCTAGTGGAAGCAACAAGTCAAAGATGGATAGAAACAGAAGTATAAACAATAAATGAAAGTTCTCATTAAGCATTTGTCAAAACAATGCCGAAAGAACATGCATACACCTATTTTGAATGTGCAACATAACATGGCCTCAAATTATAAGTAGTAACATGGAACATAAACTCACCTAGAGCTTCCTGATTCCTCTGTGACATCTCTCGATTTACAGCTTCGTAATAATTCAACTTGTCCCATAGTCGAGCCATCTCAATGTTCTTTGACTCAACTTGAGCCTCCATTTCTGTCTCCACCTCAGCCTTTGCTATTCCCCTTCCAATGGAATCTGATACAAACCGAACGATGTGGACTTGTTGAAACAAATCTTCCACCTGATCATCTAGCCGTTCATTGTCCAATCCATCTCCAGCAACAGGACATGGAGGGAAGTTCAACCCCACAAGGGATAACCGTTCACGAATCCTTTGCCACTGGGTTTGCATATTACTTAGAGCTTCTTCTACATGTTTTCGCTTTTCAATTTCCATTAATAAGCTCAATCTTATTTCTCGCAGCTCATTTTCAAAATCATGTGTAGGTATCTGTGGCCCATTCTCTGAAGATAGTTCTGAGGATGCGAATAAGGAAACCAAAAATTGTGTCATAATAGAATTACATTAAGTCGTGGTAATAACATATAATAGTCAATTACTTATTAAAAAGATTAGAAAAAGGCACGCAATCGTCAAGGTATTTACATAGAATACAAAAACTTTCATAGTTGACTGAAAAATGTAAATCCTACGTCTATACATCAGGAAAAAGACATGAAAACCAAGTTGACAGCTAGGAAAAAGAAAAGGAAGAAAAAGCAGGTAGCAAAGAAAACAGTCAAACCATTAGTGGAATAGGAACAAATAAACACCTCAGTTCAATAGAAATATATAAGTATAGAAAGACATAACCATGAAAATTATCAGAATGAAAAGGTGACTACCTTCCCACGCATCATAAAATTCTCCCAACGGAGTCATGGCACTTACAGAGCGCTGCAATCCACCATTATTCTCACTCTCACCATTACTCTTGACACTCAAAGATTCCTGGGGGTCAAAGAAATCATCAGCTTCACCACCTCTCTGCAAATTGAATGCAACAGACTTCAACGTACCATTTTGCCCAGCTGAACCATTAGGCAAATCTTGGTGAAGAAGATCCCCATTACAGAGGTCACTCATTTCACCAACATTAACCAGATTATCAGTAGTGACTAGTAAATTATCCTCTTTCGCACAATTAACTGTCTCCCTAGAAATGGAAGAATCATCAATAGATATACTGGGAAGCTCCTTCTCCGTGTCAGTTACATTCTCATCTATCTTCTCTCCACCTAGAGCTTGTTGTTGAGTGCCGAAATCATCTTCGGCGAAACTCTTTGAAAGCCGTGGACCTCGACGCTTGTGATTGATTATGTAGGGTGATGGAGGAAATGATGAAGGAGAATCTGGAAGTGGCGTTGGCTTGGGAGTTGTGTATAGTGCAGGAGATAATTGAGTCCAGTGGTCTTTCCTATCTACTATGACAGAGGGCTTACAATTTGTACCATCCAACTTTACATTAGACTCAACAGTTTTTCTTTCTAGTTTTGAAGTAGAAACGTTCATGCTCCTATCAATACTTGAATTAGGAGTGCTGTTCCTCCTCGCAAACTTCGAGTCAGGAATGCTCTTTGAAGTTGCCATGGATTTTGAGCCCCCGGATTCTATTAATCTATCCATAGCTATTGCTGTATATGTCGGCATGGCTTACAATACCAAACAACACCTATACAAAATAACAGAAAAAACATAAGACAACAAGCAATTAATTCGTTTTTAATTAAGAGTGCATAAAAGCATGTATTAGCAGATAATCTGGTCAGAAGATGAAAGATAAGCAGCATAAAAGAAAGGAAAGTGAATTATCTCCAAACTCTGATATTAAAGGACTAGGCAGAAGAAATTTCTAAGGCAAGTCTACAAAATCTAGAAATGTTGAAATTTGTTAATTCAATTTTTGAATTCTTATGCCACAAATCACGACGACATCTCAATTTTACTTAGCTGAATAAAATCAATATGGCTAGCTAAACTTTTAAATCTATTCATCCACACCTAGAAGAAGAATCTATAAATAAAAAAAAGTTGAAGTGGTAATTATAGGCCCAAATGATCAAATTAAACGTGTCAAAGCTTCAACAAACACACATCATAACAGCAACATAAACTATTCACAAGAAAATAATCATCTCAACACCAATACACATCAGAGAGAGAAAGTTACCTGGAGATGGGAAAGAAGCATAAGAAATGAAGAAACCCTGAGGGAAGGGAAGGGGACTCAGAAGACCATTAAGGTAAGGGGAGAGAATAGAGGCGAATTCAGATTTTGAGAATCGCGAATGTCAAAGGTCATGAAAATGGTGATATTTTGATAGAAAGTGGAAGGTTCAGTGTGGAACACGTTTCCATAGATGCACGGGACTTGTTCCTGTTTCGTCTCCTCTTGCCTTGACCCTGACCTTTCGGACAAGGCAAAGAGCCTCCCCAACCTAGAGCCAAAGTACACGGAATGCTTCTTTCTCTGCGTGTTTGTTATACGGAGTAGTTTGTATATTTTGGTTTGTATGTTTATGTCTCCAACTTTCTGGTTCTGGTGCTCCTCCTTTCACCACCTCGCCCCGCACAATCAAAGGCCAAAATGCAATTCTAAACTAAGATTCTTTTATTTTGTCGTCGTACCATCCAGAGGCCCCCTTTTTTAATAACACGTGTAACCAGAATTTGTATTGGTGTGATGCTACAATTAGATTTATGATCTCACCTGCGAGAGACTTATTAATTATTATTATTATTAAAGTAAAATAAATTACACCTTAACCCAACTTTTTAGGACAGCTAAACAATATTCCTCTCACCTTTTGAAGGGGAAAAGAAATCTCCTTTGACCCAAAAGTCAACCAACAAAATTGAAAACCCCATGCTGAAATTTATAAAATGTCGTAACTATCTTTTGTTTGGAGGAAAACTAATTTCATTAATGTGGGGCAAAGAGAATAGGGAAGTTCTTTTAGTTGCCTTCTTCGTATCCTATGCAAATTCTAATTCTCACAATCACAATATAGCGGTTTTGTCTGGTCTTAAACTATGGTTGTTGTCATGTTGGAGATGCTGGAAAATTATAAAAATGATGACAAATTTTAGATGTATATTGAGGAGAATATGAAGTTAAAAATAATTTTGAGAAATGTAGAATTTACTTTAAATGTTTTCTATCCAAACAAGGGATAGCAAGTTAGGCTTATGGTTCTTACCTCGACTTGGTCTAGCGATGAGTTTAGGAGGTGGACCAAGTTTTTGTCGCTGATTGTGATGCTTTTGGTGGTTGCGCCTAGTTTCGCGAGGCCATCTACCTCGACATTCTGTGCCCGTGGGATTTGGTCGAGATGACATTCGTCGAACTCGGGCAGTAGCTTCGGTCTGGTACATTTGCAACCTTTGTTCCTTGATTTGGAAAGTCCTCGTGACTTCATTGACTCCGAGCTGGGAATCGCAGTGCAGTTTTAACCGTTTTGTTCCATATTTGAGTGCTAGTCTTAGACCTGCAATTACAGCCTCATACTCGGCCTCGTTGTTAGTCATATCCGGGCATCTTATGGACTGGCGAATCATTTCACCTGTTAGGACTTCGAGTGCGAGTCCTAGTTTGGACCCCAGTGCATTGGATGTGCCATCGGTGTATAGGACACAGATATCTTCTGTTTGGAGGGAGGTTTGGACGGGCTCCATTTCGACTTCAGGCATTATCTTTGCATTGAAGTCGGTTACGAAGTCGGCGAGTACTTGTGATTTTATCGTTGTTCGCGACTGATAGGTGTGAGCACATAATTTTTACCTCATACGAATTACTCCAAAATAATTCCCAAAATTATGTCTTGTCTTTAATTATGTGTTATTTTAGGAATTATTGTGTGATTTTCCTAATGGTTTGCATATATTTGTGTGCATATTTAATTTTATTAATGCATTAAAAATACAAAATATAGCATTTGCATTTAAGATTTGATTTTTACATTTTTTGGAATTAATTAATAATTAGGTGTTTTACAAAAATGAAAATTCAAAAAATAATAACATATTTTTGTAATTTTAGTCAAATTGTGTGATTTTTTTTTAATTTGGCATTTAATTATTTGTGATAATTATTAGTTAGAGTTAATTAGTATTTTTAAGTTAATTTGGTGTTTTATAATTTAATTAGGATTTTAGTTTTAAATTTTTGAAAGAAAAAGAAGAAAAGAAAAGAAAAAAAAGAGTTAATAAAATAGAGGAGATCAAATCTGGGCCAAAAGATCCCCAAGCCCAAACAATTACTCAGCCACACCTGATCCCCAGGCCAGCCCAACCCATTCCCTACTCATTCCACCCCTACCAGAACCAAACAACGTCGTTTGGACACGTTTTGATCAGGCCCGTCAATTTTATTTGATCGGACAGTCCCAAACTTTCCCCACAACCCGNATGCACCACCGCACACCGCCCTCGTCCGCCCACCGAAAATCGCCTCACGGCGGTTCCGGTGGCCCAAACAGCCCCAAATTAACACCATAGATTCTCCTTCATCTCCCCATCCCAAATCCCCAAACCGTTTCCTTCGAATCACGACCAAACTCGTCGAATCTTCGATCGAAGTTTGAACCTCAAACCCTAGGTTACCCCAATCACTCCCAAATTAACACCACACAACCCCCATAACTCCCTCATACCAAATCCATCAATGGTTTCCTTCGAATCTGACCAGAACTCGTCGAATTTTAAATCTAAGTTCGAACCTAAAAGTTCAAAATCAGTTTCCGTTGAGCCTGAGGACATGCATCGATCCAAGCCTCTAGTTTTTGTGATTAGAAGGTTGACTCACTACAAAACCGATGTTGTTCATTTGTTCTTGATAAAGAACAAATGATTAGCATCAGTTTGGGGTGAGTCACATTATCAAAGCCAAACCCAAGTTCGAGCCTGTCCGGTGAGTTTTCTCTTAGTCTTTGTTTATTTACATTAGTTTTATTCTGATATTCGTCTTTCTCATCTCTTTTTCTTTTCCTGGTCAATAAAAATTCGGTCAGTACTCTGGTATAAACTATTTCGGTTCACTGTTTATTTATTTAGATTGGTTTTGTGGATGTGTTTCGTATAATTAGGATATCAGAAAACTTTGTAATGGTATCTCGTTTAATCACTTATGTAGAATAACTAGGATTAGTTCAATAATTTGGTTGAATGTGTATAATAATCAACTTATTAGTATAAGTTTATGCAAGTGGTCACTAATTGAGAAGCTCCTAATAGTGGTAGGGTAGTATTTGCATTATCGAATTAACCAAAAGCACTAATTGAGTGGATAATTGAGTGGACAATTAAGTGGATAATTAAAGAAATGAAAAGTTGAATTGGTAGTGGAAAGTGCACTAATTAAATGCCCATTTAAGGGAGCTGAAAATCAGAGACAAAGGGGGGATTCGAAGAGATATACAAAAACATTCTAAGAGGGATAGAGCTTAAGAAATAGAGGAGAGAACATTCTGAAAATACTGAAAAATACAGAGTGGAAAGAAAGGAAGAATTTCTAAAAATATTGAGAAGACAGAGATTTTAAGATTGAAACATACAGAGATAGATATAGAGAGAAATTCTGAAAAATACCAGGCAGCTGTAGAAATTACTGTTTCATTAAGTTACCTTGGCGATTTCTTAGATTTCGAATTCCTCAAATGAATCCTAGTTTACTGTTTCATTGATCTCTCTTGTTTCGATTTTCAAATTTTCAATCTGTCAAATCTATTTTGGTTCATTTGAGTGTTTGAAGTGGATTGGATTTAGTTTTGAGTGGGTGTGAAGTTTGTTGAATAAGTCAGTACTCTACTGGTTTCTGGATTGATCTCAATACTTGGTTATTTGAATCTGAGACTTACTTGTTGTGACAGCTCTGGCGACTCTGCTGGGGAACGAATCCAGAATCTCTGGTTCAGGGTTTAAGAATTCGAGCTTACAGTAACTGTTATATTTGGCTTTATTATTTTTTTAATGTTTGTGCTTAATGTGCGAAATGTTGCTTTTTACCGCTTTGATATTATCTGAACTATATATTAAACTGTTACGAAACCCTTCTTCTTTCTGAGTCTTCTGAATTTATGGTGCACATGTGCGTATGGTCCACCTTTCTATTAGAAGTCATACCAAATAGAACGAAGTTGGGCCAAGTAACTAGGCCGGGTAGACTTTCGTGCTCCTGGTACGTTGCACCCACTTCGGCTCAAGCTGTCCGCTTGGGTAAGCCAGGTCTAGAACAGTATACCCCAGGTTTTACACTTAGAATAACTCAGCTTCATGTCGGATCCCTAGTAGGAACGTTTGTTTGCATCATGTGCATTTGACTTCGGAGACTCAACACAGGGGTTGGGTCTGTCTAGGACAGGTGCACCCGAAATGAAAAGACCATCCTGATGCATCTTACTTGCTACTTGTGCATTCATTTGTTTCGGATTTGCATGTTGACCAGCTTATAGGAAAAAGTTAGAAAAGGAAAATCAATGTGAGAACCGAGAAAGAAAATTGGCTGTTTTCGAAAAAATAATTTCCAAAATATGTTGAAATTCTTCCGAAAGTTTGAAAAAAAGAAGAAGGAAATTTTGTGTTTCTTTTAAAAATAGTTTTATTATTACGAACTACGTAAGTTTGATTCTCGCCGGATGTGAGATACATAGGCAACCCACATCGGCCCCAACTATTTAAAAAAAATAAAAAAAATAGATAATAAATAATTAAAAATGTGGGTACATAAATGTCATTGTGTTGTCATAAGAAATGTGATGTCATTCTTATCCAAAATATGCCGAATGTCCCCAAAAGGGCGCCGGAAGGCTGTTTTTGCAAGAACAGTCGTCTTTGGTCGTTTCTTTTCAAAAAAAAAAGATTTTGCCGGTTAGCAAACAAAGCCTTTAAATCTTCTTCATCAAAGTATTTTTTTATGAATTTTTTTTTAGAAATATTAATGATTTTTTTCAAAATGAGTCTTGATTTTGGTTTTTTTTAATTAGAATCACTCACAGGTACAAAATGAGTACCATCCAAAATCCACCGTTCATAGATGTAGATGAGTTTCTATTTCGGCTTCAGATGTGGTGGTATGAGTTAGGAGGAGATGGTCAGAATTAGGTCATTAAGTATTTGGGAGCTCTCACAGATATTATGAAAGTTAAACCACGCGATGATTTGATTACGGCACTAGTGAATTTTTGGGACCCTGTTCACAATGTCTTTCGCTTCTCTGATTTCGAGCTTACTCCCACATTAGAAGAAATAGCTGGATACTCCGGTTTTGACGAAGATTTGAGAACCCAGAATCTTATATTCCCAAAGGCTCAGTACACCGATTCTTTGATCTTCTGAATATCAGTAATCAAATCAGAAAAAGCAACATTGTCAAAGGGAGTTGTTCTTTCAACTTCCTATATTCAAGGTTCGGAAAGCCGGATGGATTTGAAATTCATGAAAAGGGCCTTAGTAACAAACAAAACAAGGGCACCTAGCAGATTCACCGACGCTTCGCTTTTATGGTAGCTTTTCTAGGAATCATGGTCTTCCCAAACAAAGAGCGAACGATTGATATTCGTATAGCCAGAGTCGTACAAGTCCTCACTA